TTTTAAGCCACCGGGTCCGGGACACGAACCATGGTCGACTACGTGGGAGTCCAGCGACATAGCCATTACGCTAACTGCTGGTTCCCAATCACATGATTTTCTTGATGAGCAGGACTCTAAGGTCATTTGCTTAAGATGAGTAGAAGGAACCGGCAGGTGGCACAGTGGTTAGGGGCACTGGACTCCCACACAGCCAGCTGCAGTTTGAGTACCCGGATTTGGTGCCTTGATTTCAAACTTTCCTGCTTTCTCTCTCTCTTGCTCTGTCACTCTCTGGTTAAATTAAAATAAATAAATAGATAAATAAAGTTACATAAAATAATTCTTTAAAATAAGATGAGGAGAGAAGTGTACAGAGACAAATTTGATAAAAACAATTGTCAGTTGTTGGGAACCAGCAGTTAGCGTAATGGCTGTGTCGCTGGACTCCTGCGTAGTTGACCGTGGTTCGCGTCCTGGACCCGGTGGCTTAGAACTCACGCCGGGCGCGTGTGCGTGCATGCCCAAGATCCCGAGAGGAGAATGGAAGAGAAGGGATTGCGGCGTGACCATCCCCCCCAGGGGGTGATTTCTCGCTTTCTGTCTCTATGTCTCTCTCTGTCTGGCGAGCCCACACGCCCTATAGTGAAAAAACCTCTCCAAAAAAAAATTGTCAGTTGTTGAGAGAACTGAGCCCAAAAGAGGCCCTGTACACACCCCACCAGATTAGAAATTCATGCTGGGGTCAGCAGATGGCATAATGGTTACGTCGCTGGACTCCCACGGAGTCCATCGCAGTTGGAGTCTCTGACCACCAGGCTCCTGTTGTTGCATGCCTAAGATCCCAAGAGGAGGCCATAGGAGAAGGGATTGTGGTGTGGTCATCCCATCCGGGTTGAGGGTGCGGTTGGGGGTGACTTCTTGCTTTCTGCCTCTCTGTTTCTGGCTCCCAGGCAAGTGCACGCATGGGATAGCAAAAACCTCTTTAAAAAAAAATCACGCTACGTCTGTTTCCAGCTTCTCTCGGAAACTAGAGTTGTCACTGTTCACTGCAGTTTCCAGTCACTTAGTCAGCCAGCCCTGTAGGGGGCACTGTGGCAAGGAAAGTAAGTACCAGAGGCATCTGCTCTGTAAAGAAAGTTGGTCCCAGTAGGCTTTGCGGCATGGCATGACTAAGCACTTATACCTGTGACGCACTACGTGCCCGTTAAGGGTTGGCGTGTGGGGGAATAGCTTCACAGCGTCAGTGTTCGTGAGAAGGAGTGGGTGAGGGAAGAAGGAGGCCACAGAGGAGGCCAGAACTGAGCAGGGACTAAAATAGGACTGAGATAGGAGGTTAGGAGGAGTGGAGTAGTTCGTAGTCCACAGCAAATAATATTTGCTGTGGTGACTTAGTTGACTAGGCCGCTGAGGCGGGGTGAGTCCGCCATGGCTGTGAACTTCCAAGACCCCGAAAGCGGGTTCCGCCACAGCGATGTGATTTTGTTCATCAACCAAGAGGTGATCAATAATGGTGGTGGCCCAGAATTCTATCTGGCCTTCCGCTCACAGCCCTGGGAGGAGATAGAAGACTGCCTGCAGTTGATCCTGACTGACCCTCATGTGCCGCGCTCCTTCAAGAGAGCCTGTGCCTGGAATGCACTGGCCCTGAGTGTGCGCATGGCCACGAGGCAGCGGGAGCAAATGGAGGAGCGTGATGCGGCTTTGTCAGCGCTGGCCTCCGAGCTGCAGCAACTGCGTGAAGAGCATGAGGATGTGGTCTGGCAGCTGCAGTGTGTGAAAGAAGACCTCCATGATGTGCTGGATGAGCGCAACATGCTGCATTGGCAGTTGCTTCAGGTCCAAAGGTTGGCCCAGGCTCGGGCCGATCCACCGCCCCAGGAAGAAAACAGATCACAAGCCGGTCA